ATATAATAGTACAATAGGAGTCAGCAAAATACTACCTACAAAATGTTTGAGTCAGTACAACAACAAACAACAACAAGCATTTATCCTATTAGGTGAGGTCGACTACATGGATTGTAAGATGCCATTGTGCTTCATCATTTACCAAGTTTTTAGGAATATTATTAATTAAGAGATCGCGTTCAATAACTTTCAAGAGTGTTTTCTTAAACCTTCCTCATACTTCTTAACAGGACTCAAAGTTATATGTTTCGCTCTTCTCACTTATGCCTCCCGCGGTCTTCTTTATACATGCCCAAATTATCTCAAATGATTTTTTACCATTTTTTCCTCAATAGGTGCTGCCCTCACTTTTTCGCATACGTGCTCATTTCAAATTTATCTTTATGTATATGTCTGTACAGTTATCGTAACATTCTCATATCTACTACTCCAACTTTATACTCTTGTTGTCCTGTTAGAACCTAGCATTCACTACTATATAATATAGTTGGTTTGATAGCAGTACGATAAAACTTTTAGTTAAGTTTATTAGGCACCTTATGATCGCAAATAATTCCTTTAGCTTTTCTCCAATTAAACCATCCAACTTGAATCCTTGTGAAATATCCCCATTGATTTCGCTGTCATTTTGAATAATGGATCCGAAATATTAAATTTTTTCACTTAAGGTATAATTTGATCTCTCAATTTTACTTTCAAATTACTGTTGACTAGTCTCTTACCAAATTTATAATATAAATATTCCGTCTTACTCCTAGTCAGATGGAAACCTTTTGACTCCAATGTCCTCTTCCATAGCTCAAGTTTACAATTAATCTCTTCTCTTGTATTTGCTGTAAGAATTATATCATCCGCGAAGAGCATACATTTGAGAATTTTTCTTTGAATATATTTTGTCAAAACATTTAGGATCAAGTTAAACAGATAAAGACTCAGAGATGATCCCTGATGTAGTCCAATCTTTATAGGAAAGTCCTTTGTTTGACCACTAGACATTCTTATACTAGTTTTTACCCCTTCATACATATCTTGTATGATTTTAATATAAGCAATCCATACTCTTTTCTTTTTTAAGGCTTTCCAAAGTATTTCTCTTGGTATGCAGTCATAAGGTTTTTTCAAATTAATAAAAACTATATATAAATCTTTATCTTTACAACGGTACTTTTTCATTAATTCTCTTAGTAGATAAATAGCCTCTGTAGTCGATCTACCTGACATAAAACCAAACTGATTCTCAGAAATACTTGTCTTCAATCTTAATCTATGCTCAATTAATTTCTCTTACAATTTCATTGTGGAGCTCATGAGTTTAATTCCTCTATAGTTAGTACAATTCTGAATATCCTTTTTATTTTATAAATAGGAATTAAGGTACTTCTCCTCCATTCGCCAGGCATTTTTTTGGATCGTAAAATCACATTAAATAACTTAGTTAATCATCTCACCCCTCCTTCACCTAAACATTTCCATACTTCAATAGATATACAATCAAGTCTGTTGATTCTACCATTTGTCATTTTCTTAAGAACTTCCTTTACCTCCTTATCACGTATAGAATGACAAATTTTGTTATCTTTCATGGGTTGCTAAATCCTCCAAATTACTAGACGAACCCTCTCCGTCATTGAAAAGTTTGGAAAAGTAAGTCTTCTATCTATTTTAATTTCATCATGTGTAACTAAAATTCTTCTCTCTTCATCCTTTATACACCTTACCTATTTTAGATCTCTTAATTTTTTTTCTCCATTCTTAGCAATCTTATAAATATTTCGTTTTCCTTCCTTCGTCTCAAGGCTCTTGTAAAGTTCTTTAAAAGCTTTAGAATGAGCTTCACTCACAGCTATCTTAGTTTCCTTCTTAGCCATACGGTACCTCTCTTAATTTTCTTCATTGTTACACAAATGTATGGCTTTAAAACAGTTCTTCTTATATTTGATTTTGTCCTGTACACTATTATTCTACCACCAAGACTCCTTGTCTCTCGGACCAGAATCTTTTGATTTTCCCAAAACTACTTTTGCAACCTCTCTTATCTTTTTAGCCATGTTCTCCCACATGATGTTAGCACTTCCTTGAGATTCTTAAATTCCTTTGTCCAAAAGATTCCGCTTGAAAATATCTTGCTTCTTACCTTTTAATTGCCATCACCTAATCCTTGATACTACTACTTGTTGACGCTTTTGAATTTTACTCATAATACACACATCAAGTACAAGGATCCTATGTTGTGTCGTTATAGCATTCTCAGGAGTCACCTTGCAATTTTACAGAATTTTCTATTTGTGTTCCTAACCAAAAGAAAATTAATTTGTGACCTTGAGACTCCACTTTTATAAGCGATAAGATGCTCATTTCTTTTCTTGAAACAAGTGTTGGCAATTTTAAAATCATACATCAATGAGAAATCAAGAAGAGTTTGTTCTTCATTATTTAGCTCTCCAAAACCAAAACCACCATACACCCTCACATACTGACCAGCCTCTTTCCCGACATGCCCATTAAAGTTTCTTTCAATAAAAATCTTTTCACTCCGTGATTTGTGTTGAATCAACCCCTCCGAGTTCTCCCAAAATAATTCCTTAACATATTGGAGAAAAATAGGAGGACAGCTGATTCTATATACTCAGAATTCCTTATTTGCAACCCTCACAATGTCATCGTAAAAAAATACAGTCTATGGTATTATTGCTAAAATAGAAATAAAATGGCATCAAGTAAATCTGAGCAAAATTTTCTGAAAGTGGTAGCAATATCATAATGAAAAAGCCACAGTTAATAACAATCTTACTCTGAATCAGTTAACTTGAATTCATGACAGATCATTGTAGATAAGTTAACTTGACATTCTTGTAATGGTCCAAATAATGACATGAAACTTGGTTTCTAATATCCAAAAGCCATTTTTTATGGTTTAAGTATGCTTAATCTTAGCTTACTCTTCATTAGTTTAAAATGTGTTGTGTATTATAATTTTAGATTTATTTAAGTTTGAGATCATCAGAATTTTACACCATATTCTGGACTTTCAATTTGTTCAATTTAGTCCCACGATCTAGTAGCATATATTTTCAAAAGCTTGTAGTAGCTTACTTATGGGTCTTGTAAAGCAAGTGCAAGGTTATAAAAGTAAATTTTTTATGAACATATCGTGGTTGGGAATCAGATTGCACCTTTTTTTAGTTTCCATACAACAATTCGTTCCTTCCTATGATCTCTTGATGAAGTTGATATAATTGAGAAGAGATTCAGTTCCTCTAACTCTCAAATATATGGTGTAATATGTACTTCAGTCGATCAAAACTGACTGTAAATCCATCATTTGTTGAAGTTTTATTTTGTATGCCGCCAAACTAAAAACTATAATTCTCAAGAACCTTTATCATTTTATGTTTTAGTCTGACTTGGTTGAATACGTTTTCTTCCTTTACTTGAGAAACGAGAGTAGAGAAGGGAGAATATCAAGAGGGAGAACTCAGAACATATTGTAGCCTGAGCTAACTAAATATAGCAAGTCTTATCTTATTAGGTGAGGTCAATTACACGAATTGCACAATACCATTGAGCTAACTAAATATCACCTGTAATTGACAAATTTTAAATGGCAGTTACTGATACATGGGATTTAGAAATAGTAAGGGTAATTAGGGAAATTAGGGGGTAAAAGTGTAGTTTGGGAATATAGTAAATATCTCTATAAATAGGGTCCTAATGATGTAATGCGGGTCTATTGAATAATGTTCTTCTTTTATTCTCTTTTCTCCTTCCGCTTGTAACAGTTACGAAACATTTATGATGATGTTTAATTTAGAAATGATCTTTATGTTTATCTTTAAACTTATGATAGAGGTGTTATAAATGATTTACCAGGCTCTTGGCTTGTATGGTTTTGAATTTGTCTGAGTGTTTGGCCTTCACTGACCATGTTTATTCAACAAGAGGACAATAGGATACAAAATGGCATGATGCCATGAATTGTTTAGTCAGGAATAAATTTGTTAGATTATCATCATGATAACAAAATACCGGAGGACTGAGAATTTGTGAGACATGCACGTCAAGCTATAAAAATATCACTAATCAATTTAGAATGAATTTTTGAATTGCACACTAGTTGTACAGATTATGGCAGGTGAATAATAATATCTAACAGAGAAGGAAATTGTTTTCAAGACGAAAATAAAAATCAACAATAGATTAAAATTTTCCCGTCTTGATTTCGTCTGATTCAGCATCAAACTGAGTGATTGATGCTTGAGCTTCCAGTATTTGAAGAAATGAAAGTTATATCTTTCCTCTTCTTTTTTCTGAACCAACTTACATTATTGATGCTTCTTCTTGTTTTTTTTTTTTTTGGGGTGGGTTAACCTAGCTCTACAAAGCTCAGAGAAACGTCATACTGTGTGCTTCAGCATGTCTTCTATACTGGTAAGCAACAATTTTACAGTAGAGGCTTGTATATGGAATGGACTGGTTCTTGTTATCTTTTGGGATTCTGACTCCAAGGTGTATATGAACGTGGTGGCAGGTCTATCTACCGGATCTGTAAGTATCAGAAGGATGTCCAAAGTCTGGAGGAAGTGGAGAAGAGATACAAGGATCAGTAGCATTCTCGTTGTGCTAATTGAGGACTCGAGTCTCCTGCTATAGTATAGAGAGACTCTACGGATATGAAACCGTAATTCACTAAATCGTCCATAATTTTAAATTTCCAATCATTTTGTGCTGGCTGAACTCATAATTAAACGTTTCACAGATTCTATGTAGTTAAATTATTCTCCCTTTTCTGTTGAGATCATTTACCTTCCCCCCCCCCCCCCCCTTTAAATAGAAGAAACAAGCTCCTGAACAACATTCATTGGAATCTAGATACACGCATCCACGCTAGTATGCTTATTTGCAGATGAATAGTAAAGCTTTGGAAACTGAGCAGGGTGGTCACATAACTTCTAGCTAGCAACGTCTGAGGCAGATAAAACCAAATAGTCTCTTGACGTTTGTTAAGTTATCAAAGAATTGTTCTTCACTCATGACAATTTTTGTTTGAGTTTAGCTGTCTAACGGCCTGTTTGTTTTCTGTTCTTAAAAATTATTTTTATTTTTAAAAATAAAAAAATTTAAAATTTGTTTGGATAAGTGTTTTCAATTTAATTATTTCTAAAACTGTTGTCATTTTTTGTTTTTTAAAAATAAAAAATAGAAATAATTTTAAGTTGTTTTGATTTATTTTTTATTTTTAAAATACACTACATTTAATTATTAAAAATTAAAGTTAATTTAATTTTTATCATAAATTATCATCATTAATTACTTATAATTATCACTATCAATTTATTTTTTAATTCTAAAATTATTTTTAAAATTAACATAATCAAAAAGATTTTTATTTTGTTTTGTTTTGAAAAATAATTTTAAAAACAGTATTATAAAACAGCTTTTAAAACCAAAAATAGGATCGGAAACCAAACATGCTGTAAGTGTTTGTGGTGCCTCTATTACTTTATTAACTTGAATTCAACTTTTATGGTGCCTCGGCTTGGCAGTAACTTTTCAATGAAATTATCAGGTCAAAAAAAAAAAGAAAATTTTTTCCTGTTGGTTAAAAAATAATAATAATAATAAAAAATTGGCAGGAAATAGATCCTTTTCACACTCTCTTCCAATAAGTAAACCGCGACCTAGAATACTGGTTTGATTTAATAATTGAGGAAATGAGATGATTTCTCATTCAAAGGATTTTTTAAACCGTTTTCAGCGTGAATTTCATATTTAATATGCTTTAGTCCAAGATTTCTTATGGCTCCATCATGATAAGTTTCTATTGGCTATGAATTATAGAAGAATTACTTGAATGAACATGAAACCGGGTCTCAAGAAAAGAAAACAGGTCATTGACGCACCAATGGTAAATGCTTCCTTTGATTTTTGTCCTAAGGGATAATTTCTTTTTGACTTTAGTGAATTGATGTCACATATCGTATATTGAAAATGTGAGGAGCCAGTTCATACCTTTACATCACAAACCTTTTTGTTTTTGTTTTGTTTTTGTTTTTGTCATTCAAGTTTGATTGACAATTCACAAGAATGCGGGGTCCTGATTCCAGGTGATTAAGCTAATAGTAAATAAATTGAGGTTAAATTCCATATATCACAGATTTTATTTGGCAAACTTCAAAGGGATCTCATTCAGAATTTTAAATTGTGTTGATGTGAGAGGATCAGACATGGAGAGAGAAAAGGAGGTGTGAACCTTAATCTCATTGGTAAAGATTTCACCCATAATTTTAAGATTGTGGTTTCAAATCTTGATGCCTATATAAGTATCTCTTTAAGCGTAGAAGTATGCTCTAATCCTGATGAGACCTCAAGATTTCTATTAAAAAAAAATTATTTAGTCTCTATAATTTTAATCTAATTGTAACTCAATTTTTAAACTTTGATTCATTATAATTCAATCCTTAAAATTTTGATTAGGTTGTAAATCAGTCCTTAAACTTTACCTCTTACAATTTAGTTCTTGAAGTTTCAACCCTTAAATATTAGTTCCTTTATTTTAAAAAAAATAAAATTCTAAAGGTTAAAAATATTTTAAAATTTAGTAATACTATCTTAAATTACTAAACCCTTTTAATATTTATAAATATTAAAAATTAAAATATTTTTAATTTTTATAATTTTTTAAAATATAGGGATCAATATTTAAGAGATTGAAACTTCACAGACTAAATTGTAAAAGGTAAAGTTCAAGGACTGATTTATAATTGAGTCAAAATTTTAGAATTAGAGTTATAACGAGTTAAAATTTAAAAATTAAATTATAATTAGGTCAAAATTATAAGAATTAAATGATTATTTTTTTTTTGAAAAAAAAAAGTAAAGAAACAAAGAAAGGAGGAAGAGGTATGAAGCACGCGGCGATTGAAAAGAATCTTAAGGATGAATGCTGATGCGATTATAAAGACTAATACGAGTGATGTGGGATGACATGAAGTTAAGAAAGAGAATGAAATTCCAGAATTGGACATGAAGAAGGAAATTGAAGGGACGAGTGTGTCAAATAGTCAAAGGGGTCGGTGGGATTCTGCAAGGCGTGTCCGTGTGTGTACCCTTAATTATGTTTTTATTATAGCCGTAAAATTGGATGATCTCTGCCTTTCATTTGTTGCTCTTTTTCTCTGAGTCAAACTCAAACGCGTTTATGATGGCTGCAATTATTTCTCCTTCTTTGTTTACATGTTATTTAAATACACACCGCCCGTTCACCCCTGCGCGTTTCCCACTTCTGTGTATAAGTCCCGTAAATGTCGCTTCCCTTCACTTTGCTTCTTCACATTCACATACCAATGGATTATTATTTACATTAAATTCTAACCGTTTATAATAGTATTATTAATATGTTAAGATTTAAGGAAAATATAATTGTTGCTTTTAGCATGCTTTAAGTTCTTTTTTTTTTTGTTGCTCCTCATCTTTTAAGTATTATTTGTTGGCAATATTAGTCTTTATCATTATTAACGGAGTTAAATATGTTAATATATTCATAATTCTATTATTGAGTTGGTAAAATTTTTAATAATGAGTTAAATATTGTACAAATAAAATGATGACTAACTTTTTTGTCTTTCTACACTAGCCATCTATTTTTTTTTTTTTGATAAGCTTCATCCATTACGTGTTTAAAAATGTTGATTCAATATCCTTATTGCTTTCTTTTTGCTTTCTATTCTTTTTTATGCAACCTATCAAAATTTTAACAAGTGAGCATTAGAAGTAATGAAGTTTATATGTATATTAGTCACTATTAATTCTTTATAATCATATTTAAAAATATAAAGACTAATGTTACAAGCAAATTAAATGAAATTTAAAGGATTAGGAGTAAATGAGAAAAAAATAATAATATTAAAATATGCTAAATGTATAAGGACGGACAATTATATTTTTTCTAAAATTTAACTAATTGGAACAATCTTCTTTTTATATGATTTTTGACTAGGTCAGATTTAGATACTCCCTTCATTTTAAATTATAAAATAATTTGAGATTAGATTATGCATATCAATAAAACACAATAATGACACTTTGCAATCTTATTTTTTTAAAATAAAATTATAAGCTTTCAAAAATATCCTTACACACTTAATTATTATATTATAATATTATTTTGATTCACTCTCTACTTGAAGGGTAATATTAAAAAAAATATTAATATAACCTTATTTTTTTCCAATTGTCTTATATTTTGGAACAATAAAATTCTTTTAAAGTTGTTTTATAATTTGGAATAAAGGGAGTATTATTAAGTCTAACTAAAAATAATTCTTTCAAAAACAATTTTGCTTGCTGTTTGTTGTCATAGAAATTACGAGAGATTAGGGTCTTGTTTAATTGATAGAAAGGAATTAAGAGAATGAAGTGGATGAAAAATTATAAATAAAATAAAATGATTAAAATGTGGAGGGGGAATAAGTGAACTATCTCCATAAGAAAAAATAATAATTTAATTTATAAAATTGAGTCATGATACATGAGATTTTTGAATGTGTAATGATTTTGATATTTGTAATATATAATATTAAATTTTATTATATTTATCATGAGATAAAAGAATGTATGATTTAATTCATTTTTATTTTAATTTTTCAATCCACTTGATTTCCTCCAATTGGTACCTTAACTGAGCAGTGAGTGTGAATTTGAAGGACGTTTTCCCACTTTCCCAGAATTGTTTTCTGGCAAACTATTGGTGTTGTTATTCCATGGCGGCTCTAGTCTGTTCCTTTGCCCACGTTTCTCACATTTCTCACATTTCTCACATTCTCATGTCTCTTTTTGTCACGTGATTATTAGTGCAACCACTGCGCTTTCCTCTTTGTAAACTTGTCATCTATCTAGCTATCTTTCTCATTAACGTTGTATCATGAACCAATCATTCCAGATTTGATTTGACGATAGTTGAGATTTACAACACAAAATTCAAACTTAAGCAACTGCACGAAATTTCCATTAGTATCTTTTTGTGTCGAAAACAAACCTTAGTAAATTGAATCTCCATTTCTTCTGGTGTCTTGCACAAAAATATTACACTTAATTAGAATGAAATTATCATATTTTTTTTAAAAAAAAGTTTCTCTGATCTGTGAATTTTTTTGGGAGCAGTGTTGTGAAATTTTATATCACTCATATAGTACAAGTATTCTTAAAATATGGTTAGATTAAGAGGAATGAGTAACGAGTGAAAAAAATAGATTCATTTATATACAAGTCAAATAAAATATCAAAATGAAAAAAAAAATAATGATGTAAAAGTACCTCAAGATTACAAAAAGCTATACTAACATATTTTAAAATTTTAAAAATTATTCATAAAAATCAAAAATTTTAAAATGTCATAAGTGAATGAAAATACTAAATTTTCACCCTTGAGAGTTACCACCTAAACATCAAACAATCTCATGAATTTTTTAATATTATTTTTACAAAATTTTGTATTTCTTACTCCCTTGTTCCCCAACTTTGATGAAGCTTGTATGTACAAGTTATAATATAAGAAAGTTACAACTCAGTCTCCTTAAACTTAGTTTTCACTATTTAAATTTTTTCAGAGCTATAAGAAATTTTAAAATTATTAATATAATAAAAAAATGTTACAACCCCAGACAAACCACTACTACAAAATAATTGATATATAAAGCCATTAAAAATGATGGTTTTAAAAAAATTCATCATTTAAAAGAGAGGCAGGTAATGGTTATCTAATAAATGATGGATGTTTTAAACATTTATTATTTATTTCAT